ATTCGGTTTGTAGTTCTCCCCTTTTTCGGTGATCTGAATTTGAATGTTGACATTTCTTAAGAAGATAACCTTTACGTACTATTTCATCTGGGAAGCAGTCAGAATATTAATGCAAAGAGAAAAACTTACTGACCAATGCCTTTACATGAGATAAACAACGCATATTATCAAACGAACTTATCTATGTTTGGAGCCTTTTCAGATGTTATTCTTTACGTTCATAACAATAAAAATTTCTGGATATGGTTCAGCGATATGACAGATGTAATAACTAATAATCAAAATGAATCTCAATAGAAACTAACTTTAAGCATCGTATTGAATGCACTGCTGAATGTCCGATAATATCCTTCCTCACCACGGAAACCATATTCAGCATCGTTCTCGCAACGCACAATATAGTGTAATTGAGGTGTCGTTAACAGATCTGAAATAATAGCAACGATTTGACTGTTTGATTATTTTGCGACATCGTAGAATTTTAAACACAGAGACACTGCTTTGATTTCGTGATCAATGGTGAAAATCTTGTGGGCATACAAACGAGATTGGATGAATTCCACCCGGGTTACAAAAACCTTGAAAACAAACCGTATGAATAGAATTGTGCTTTCGACAACTGGACACCGCTTTTAAGAGCCGTTTGTAGATATTGTGAACTTTCGCGAGTATCATACCCACTCAACACACGTGCGTTGTGTACGTCCTCTCCAGCTGCATAGCCACTTTCCATTGCACGATAAACCGTCGGAAACTCATCATCTCTGAAAATATTTCCAACCACCTTGAATACAGCTTCCAAAAAAGAGCTATGCCCGGATCAACGTCAGATTCGATAAACAAGAAATTTAGAGTGCGCTTTCAGATGAGACTACCACTAAACCAGAATACTTCTGGAAGAAGCAATACATTAATTTCTGAGGTACTTCATTCACTCATTCACATTCACAACTGAAAACAACACAACTAACGTGCAGTTGACAATTTCGTCGGCTGCTTTCTCCCAA